TTTTGATCAGAAAACTTGTGAACCTAAAATATAGAGAGGGTGCTTCTATTGCTGAGCATTTGAATAAAATGCAGAGTATTATTAACTAGTTATCCTCTATGGAAATGTCTCTTAATGATGAGTTGTAGGCATTGTTACTTCTCAGTTCATTACCAGAAAGTTGGGAGATACTAGTGGTTTTCCTCAGTAATTCTGCGCAAATGGTGTTGTCACCATGAGTCAAGTAATAAGCAGTTTGTTGAATGAGGAGTTAAGAAGAAAGAATTCAGCAACATCTCAGAATGATTCAGGCACTTATCTCAAAGAACAGAGGAAGGTAAAAATCTAGAAGCAGTTCACGCATGGGTAGGAGTAAGTCAAGATCAAGAAAAGATATTGTTTGCTATAACTGTGGTGAGAAAAGACATTATAAGAACCAATGTAAGTAACCTAAGAAGAGCAAGAAAAAGGGAAAAGAAGTGGAGTCTACAAAGTCAAAAGATAATATCATAACTATAGTGCAGGGTGGTGATTATTTGATTTTATCTCCTTCTAATAATATTTTTTCTTATGTGTGCTAGGATCTTGAGTGAGTGATTGATACATGTGCTTCTTATCATGCTACACCACAGAGGGAGTTTTTTGCTACATACAGGTTTGAAAATTTTGGTGTTGTCAAGATGGACAACTATGGCATAGCAGACATCATTGGCATAAGTGATATCCATTTAAAGACCAACCTTGGCTGCAAGTTGGTGCTTAAGGATGTGAGGTATGTGGTTGACTTATGACTGAATTTAATTTCAGTTGGAAGACTATATGATGAAGATTATAATAGCAGATTTTACAAAGGGCAATAGAAGCTCAGTAAGAGTTCTCTTGTTATAACTAGTGGAAAGAAATGTCATACTTTATACAGGTTGCAGGCTAAAGCTTATGATGAACAATTAAATGCTATAGAGAAAGACTTTAGCATGGAGTTGTGGCATATGCGACTGGGACATATGAGCGAGAAGAGGCTACAAGCTCTTTCCAAGAGAGAGATATTGCCAGATCTCAAAGGTACACATTTGAACCCTTGTATTAATTGTTTGGCTGGTAAACAACATAGAGTTTCATTTGCTAGTCCTGCTTTATCTAGAAAAATGCATGTCTTAGATCGTGTTTATACAGATGTATGTGGTCCTTTGAGGACAAAAACTCCTGATGGATTTGTTGATGTTCCTAGTATAAGTTGTGCACTTTATTTTGTCACTTTTATAGATGATTTTTTCAGGAAGGTTTGGGTATATGCTTTGAAGACCAAAGATCAAGTGATTAATGTCTTCAAAGAGTTTCATGCCAAGGTTGAAAGGGAGACAGAAAGACAATTGAAATGCATAAGATCATATAATGATGGTGAGTACATAGGATTATTTAATTATTATTGTAGGTCACATCAGATCTAACATGAGATGACAGTTCCTGGTACACCTCAGCATAATACAATTGCAAAGAGGATGAACCGCACCATCATGGAAAAGATCAGATGTATATTTTCATAGACGAAGCTACCCAAAAGGTTTTGGGATGAGGCTTTGAGGACTACAGTTGATGTGATCAACTTGTCACCATGTATAGCCCTAGATGGTGATGTTGTAAAGCATGTATGGTTAGGGAAAGATATTTCTTACAAGCATTTGAGAGTATTTGGTTGTCATGCATTTGCACATATTCCAAACAATGAGAGGTCTAAGCTAGATGGTAAGACTTAAGAATGTATTTTTCTTGGTTACTCATATGATCAGTTTGGTTAGAAAAGCAGAAGGTGTTCAGAAGCAAAGATGTAGTTTTCTTTGAGGATCAAACCTTTGAAGATTTGAAGAAGAAGACCCCGGCCAAGACTTCTGCAGAAAGATTAGCAGATTGTGACTCAGTTACTCCTCCAGTATATCAGGGTGATGGGGGAGATGTGTTGAAAGATGGTATAGAGCCTGATGTTGATCTACCTGCAGGATATATGTTGAGTAAGAAGTTGGAGAGCAACTTCTCGTAGAACCTTAGTTGAGAAGATCTTCTAGACAACGTCAACCTTCCTGAAGATACTCTATAGATGAGTATGTGATGCTTACTGATGTAGGTGAACCAGAGAGTTACCAGGAAGCAGTTGAAAGTGAGCAAAAAGAGAAGTGGTTAGTTGCTATGTAGGAAGAAATGAATGCTCTTAAGAAGAACTACACTTATAATTTGGTACTACTACCAAATGGAATGAAGGCCTTGAAAAACAAGTGGATTTTTAGGTTGAAGACTCAAGAATATTGTTCTCAACCAAAGTACAAAGCTAGATTGGTTGTGAAAGGCTTTGGTCAAAAGAAAGGTATTGACTTTGAAGAGATATTTTCTCCTGTTGTTAAAATGTTTTCTATTCGTGTTGCTTTTGGTATTGCTACTAGTCAGGACTTAGAGGTTGAGCAGTTAGATATGAAGACAACTTTCCTTCATAGTGATTTGGAGGAGAAAATTTATATGGAGCAACCAGAAGGCTTCAAGGTCAAAGGTAAAGAGAGCTTTGTCTGTAAGTTAAAGAAGAGCTTGTATGGGCTAAAGCAAGCCAAGATAGTGGTACAGAAAGTTTGATTCATTTATGACAGAAAATGAATACAAAAGAATGACTTCAAATCATTGTATGTACATCAAATGGTTTGGTGAGAATTTTATTATTCTCTTACTTTATGTTGATGACATGCTTATTCTTGGGAAAAATAAGTCTTTTGCAATGAAGGACATGGGGCCAGCAAAGTAAATACTGGGCATGTAGATTTTTCATGATAGAAAAACCAAAACGATTTGGTTATCACAGGAGAAATATATCGAGAAGGTATTGGAAAGGTTCAGTATGAGCAATGCAAAGCCAATTGGTTCTCATATTATAGGTCACTTTAAGTTGTGCTCAGAATATAGTCCATCAAGTGATAAGGAGAAGGAGAAAATGTAAAAGGGTCCTTATGCTTCAGTAGTTGGAAGTTTAATGTATGCAATGGTATGTACGAGGCCGGACATCGCATATGCAGTTGGTGTTACTAGTAGATTTCTTGCAAATCAAGGCAAAGAGCACTAGGCAATAGTGAAGTGGATTTTGAGATATCTCAAATGGAGCTCTAAGGTTTGTTTAAGCTTTAGAGGTGGATCACCTATATTGATAAGTTACACAGATGTAAATATGACAAGAGATATAGATACGAGAAAGTCCACTTCAGGTTATGTACTTACTTTTACAGGGGGAGCTGTGTCATGACAATCCAGGTTGCAAAGGTGTATTGCTCTCTCTACCACAAAAGCAGAATATATTGCTGCTACAGAGGTATGCAAAGAAATATTATGGATGAAAGAATTCTTACAAGAATTGGGGCTGAAACAGAAAAATTATGTTGTGCATTGTGACAATCAGAGTGTCATCCATTTGTGTAAGAACCCAATGTTTCATTCCAAGTCAAAGCATATAGATGTCAGATACCACTAGATTCGAAATGTATTTGAAGGAAGCAGTTGCAGCTTTAGAAAATTCACACAAATGACAACGGAGAAGACATATTGACAAAAGCATAGCTTCACAATGAGGAGTCTTGGGACAGCCTCTCTTATGGGCTGAATGGGGAGGTTGTTGGGCTGACAGCCCACATTCCTGATAGCCCACATTCAGCCCAAGGTGGGCTTTATCAGCTCACAACTCACCCCCTCTTAACCTAACCCTAATTCATATTAAGGGGGGGTGTAGTGGCTATGAAAATAAGCATAAAAGGGCAGCAACGAGGATAGCAGGGCACATCTTAGCAACAGTAAAAAGGAGGAGAAAAAGATAAAAATCCAAGGAGAAAGAAAGGAAAGAAAACAAAGACAACGTAGAGAGACTGTTCTCAATCATTTAGCAGTGTTCTCATCTTAAGTTAGATCAAATCTATGATAGATTCTTACTGTGATTACTTGGAGAGAATTAGGGAGAATTTAGAATTTTATGCACAGTGACGTGATCCTTGTATCCCAGTTATTCTTTTGTAATTGTTGCTAGGGTTTTGAGCAAGAGATTGAGATTTGTATATTCATTATTTCTTATAGTGGATATCTCTAGTTTGCCCCGTGATTTTTACCCTTCACATTGGAGGGGTTTTCCACGTATATCTTAGTGTTCTATTTGATTGTGATTCCATTTAATTTCGCTGCATGTTATAGCCTACTAATATTTATTCATATATAAAAGTTTATTTCACTTTATATCTCATTAAAGATAATACTAAAATTAGAGCATGAAATGTTGATGATATATATATATATATATATATATATATTATTTGTTGTCGTTAACATCACCCAATCCATTTATTCCCATCATTTTCTTTACCATATATATATATATATATATATATATATATTATTTATTTATTTACACTGAATCAAGTAGAGAAAAAAAATATATTATTCTTATCTTTTCCTTGCTTTATTTTACTCGTTGCGATCGATAGCCGTTCAGACCTGCTCTGCTGGCATCCATCATACCTCGATCACCGGTGAATAACCGCGGAGAACAGACAGAACCATCGTCGGGACACGTACGGTTCTTCCCCACTCGCTTATCGGTTGCCCGGCTTTCTTGTCCGCCTCCTGGGACAGCGACAGAGACGGGCCCACGTTTCCATGATGAACCTGCACGGCCGTCGCTGCCTCCAACTGCAAGGCAGGTATTTGTCTGCGGGAAGCGAGCATCTTTCCCGTCGACCCAAGCCTTCTCCTCGCCAGCTCAGCTCGCCTCTCGTAGCAGCCGACTTCAACGATTTCATTGGGGGGCCCACGAACAAAGCGTCAGTTTAAGCTTCACCCGCGAGTTGTTCCACCGACACGCGAGACCGCTTAGCCGTTGAAATGAGCTCCGACCTCCCTGACCACACTCTCTCTTTCACTCTGCGATTAGCGTAGCTTCGTCGGAACGCATTTCTTCGGGCACGCGTTCGATTTACGTAAGAGTTCCTTCGGATATTTTATCAAAGGTTTCCTTTTTTTATTCTTCATTAATCATCATTTTGTTTTGCATTCATTGCCAACCCTAAGCCTCATCTTTGATCTTAATTTCACCCCCCCGGTTCGATCGCTCTCGCCTTAATCGCGAACCGCGGTTGTTCTCGATCGATTCTGGTGAGTTGTGGAACTCGGAATCGATGGTTGGTGTGCAGCGCAGAGTCGAGGGGAGGAGGCACAACGACTTGTCATTTTTCGCTCTTTCAGAAAAATAACAATGTCTTTTCGTTCAAGTATCTTTTCCTGCTTCCTAATCGTTCGATCATTTTTTTCGTCCGATGGCGGAGATCCGGATATGTTTCTTTGACCACTTTTTGATGGAGTTCGTCATGTGTTTTCCGCTTCTAATGATTTTTTTTTTATTGACGTGTGTAGCAGTCGAGCTCTCAAATTTTATCATCTCTAGTGGAAATAGAGAGAGAGAAGAAAAAAAATGAACTTTTTTTATCTTTGCGTGTAAGGTAATGCGATGGAAGGTGATGCAAATGACTTCTTACGGGTAGATATCGTGGGAATATAGTTCGATTAAAGACTGCTTTCCTTTTCCCTTATGTATTTGACTCCAGCTGATCTCTGTGTTGTAGGATTCGGTAGTTATATTATCAAGAACTGATCAGAGTAGAAATAGTGTTCTAAAAGCATCCCTTTCCAGTATTAACAGTTGAAATCATAAGCAGAATAGCATCGGGTTTCATCTTCTGAAGCATATATACGATCCTTGTTGTACGACTTCTCTGTTTAGAATGGATTCCTCCCATGGCCTCGTAATGCTGCATCTTATTGTCTATTTCCAGACCCTCTAATGGAAAGAGGTGCACATGGAACTGGCAAAAATTGCATTTTTCGCTACTGCTTTGAAGATGTAATGCACAGGCATTTGAAAATGGCTTCCCTCTTAAATTGGTGTTAACATTCAGCAAGCAGACTCAAGATTTGTTTATTTTTTAATTAGTGATTTTTTTGTAAATTTTGTATATTTTTTTTGCTTGGAGTATCAGATTCCTCACATCAGTTAAAGCGACGGTTTAAATATCACAGCAGTCAGTTTTTGATGTAAGAAGCTTAACTTTTCTTTCTGCAATCAATGTGATTCCTAATTCTTTGCTTCAGTAGCACTTTATATTCTGTGGCATCAGACTAAGTTGATATACTGCTGCTTTTCCCTGTGGGCATGCATTTCTTTTTGATTTGGTGATAAACTGACTCCAGATCACCTTCCCTTATTCTTGACACAATTGCTCCAAATTTAATAGTTTTTCTCAATTATATGCAGATGATCTCAGTTTTGCTTGCCTGAGTTCTCCATGAGCTTGCAAGTATTTCTTATTTGTTTTTCTTATCCTTTTCTATCAACTGATGCATTTCATTCAGTTTTCATCAGTGTCCTACAGTTCAGTTGATTTTTTTTAACTCTTATAGTTTTTCTTTTTCCTTCATAAACTTAAAATTTTAAGTAAATGATAGCTTCTATTTCTTGTGAGGCATGCTATATACGTTTTTCTAATTACTAATACATTTTCCTGTCTTCCACATTGAATACTTGCAGTTGGGGTCTCAGAAATCAAGGTCCAGTTTTATAGTTTCAGCTGATAAATTAATGAAGATGGCGATGCAACCTGTGAGTGTGCTTTTCTTGTTTCTACCACTTCTAGCTTTTGGAAGTGGGGATATATATATTGTGACTGTAGAAGGAGAGCCTGTAGTGAGTTACAATGGTGGTGTTGATGGATTTTCAGCAACAGCTGTAGATTTAGTGGAAAGGATGGACATAACCAGGTAGGTCCTAACTTCCAATCCTTTGCTTATACTGTGCTTCCAGTGTCACTTAAGATTAGATGTGATTGTGCGAGTTGGTTTCTTGATGATGTAGATTGGACTTGATTCCTTGTGTCTGTACAGTCAGAGTTGATGCTTTATATTTCAGCATCAAGTTCACTTAAAATTACTGAATACTCACTTTTGGTTATTACTTGCCCAAAAGGTCAAATTTTCTTTTTTCCATTATAGTGGAGGTGGTTTAAGTTACACCCATTTTGGTTCATGAAGCTAGATACAACTGTTTGAATTTGGTGTCATTTTTTTAACTTCAACAATATGGTTGTTGAAGCTATCCGACCAATTAGATATCTCACCATTTTGGTCAAACCTTGTTATTGTTATGCACATGCCTGTTATATTTCCTTTTGTTTGTGAGGAATCTTTTATCCAGAGCAATTTCAGTCATCCATATTTGTTTTGAATCATTTATAAAATCTTCATCGGCCTTTTCTTTTCTATTTATTCTCCAAAGGTGTATCGTATCTGAAGTAGTTTAGTTGTAGTGATACACATATACATCATCATTACAGAAAGAAAGGAGGGTAAAAAGAAAAGATGGTTCAGAAACATGATTATTAAATGCTTTGTTTGTTATGGCTGTAATTGATTATGGTGGTTTTTTGTATGCAAATTACTCCATACAAACTACCAAGTCTTTTGAAGCTTCACATTTCTGCATCTTTTTGGTGGCAGTGAGTCTGTTACATCTTATGCCCTTCACCTTGAGAAAAGGCATGATTCTCTTCTTGATTCACTCTTTGAAGTTGGGACCTATAAGAAGTTATACAGCTATCATCATCTTATCAATGGCTTTGCAATTCACATGTCTCCTGAACAGGTAAAATGCATCATTAGATTGCTCTGTCTCCATTCAATTCTGAACTGCTGCCATTATGATTCATTTTATTTTGCATTGGCTGTTTTCATGTCTCCTGAACAGATAAAGTACATTACTGGATTGCTCTGATGTCCATTCATTCTGTACTGCTGCGTTAAGATTCATTTTAATTGGCATTGGCTGTCTATTTTTTTGACTAATTATTTTACTAGGCTGAAGTTGTCAGCAAGGCACCTGGGGTCAAATATGTGGAGAAAGACATGAAAATAAAGAAATTAACCACACATACTCCACAGTTTCTGGGACTACCAACAGAAGTTTGGCCAACAGGTGGTGGCTTTAACAGAGCAGGGGAAGACATTGTGATTGGTTTTGTGGATTCAGGAATTTATCCAAAGCATCCTAGCTTTTCTACACACAACACTGAGCCATATGGACCTCTTCCTCGTTACAGAGGAAAATGCGAAGTTGATTCAGAAACTAAGAGGGCATTTTGCAATGGTAAAATAATTGGAGCCCAGCATTTTGCAAAAGCTGCAATTGCTGCTGGTGCATTTAACCCTTTAATTGATTTCTCATCACCTCTGGATGGCGACGGTCATGGAAGGTGAGTACCACAGAGTCTTCTTTTGTGCCTTAAGCACCATTTTCTCGGAAGATGTAAAGAATTTTTTCTATATGATGCAATATCTAGAATTAATCTAGCAAACATCATAAGGGATTTGCTGCCTGCCTCTTCAGAACATTCAAACTGTTTCTCTTTGTGCTGGTTCATCTGCAGGCAATGAAAATTGCATTAACTAGAGAACCATTTGATTAACTTGAATCACTGAAGAGCTTGCTTTCTAAGTGATAACTAAATTTAAACATGATCTTCCTGCTTTTTCTGATGATTGCATTATGAAGAAATTAAAACCTAAGCATTGCAGGATAATTTTGGTAAAAACATGATATTCGTTTGACATCCGTACATTAGTTGACATGAAATCTGATGTCTTTTGATTGTTCTTGACATCCATGCTTCCATATATTTTTGTCTCTGTATTATGGTAACTTTTTATTCATGTTTTTTACTAGTCATACAGCTGCCATAGCTGCTGGAAACAATGGGATTCCTGTTAGAATGCATGGACATGAGTTTGGAAAAGCGAGTGGCATGGCTCCACGTGCCAGGTAAAATCATCTTGTATAAATTGTCTATGGCAAGTTCAGCTTTAGGTTTTAATTATTTTTTTCTGCTTTCCTGTGTTTAGGATTGCTGTATACAAGGTGCTCTATAGGCTCTTTGGGGGATATGTTTCTGATGTTGTTTCTGCCATTGAGCAGGTATGCAAGAAGAAACTGATATTACTTAAGAAGTCACATCACTGTTAATGCCGTTGGTTATGGTCACCATTATACTATTTTACTGACAAACATATTTGCTATTGTTATGAAAATAATTTTCATTCAGAACTAGTTCATGAGGCATCAAATTCAGAATTTGTCATTATCGGCTGTCTATAGAATCAGGTGAAGAAGATATTTTCGGAGGCTTCTACTGAACTCATTCATGGGCATCAAATTCATGATCGCTAGCTGCTTTCATGTCTTGTTTGTCCACTTTCTATTTGTTCATTTACTGTATGCCACCACACGAGTATGTCCTTGAGAACATTTAGATGTCAATAGCATAGATGGCACAATCTTCTGATTAATGAAGCATCTAGAGTCAGGAAGGTTAAGAGGATCTTATGGATAATAACATTCATTTTGCTTAAGTCATGGACCACATACTAAATATTTTACTATGGGCATTTGCGTATCTTGTCTCTTGCATTTGACAAACAAAGTTGATATACCACACAAGATGTCCAATTTTTCATATCACAATGTCTTATCCTCAAGTTGGACCTTCTTTTTAAATTTTATGTACTTCCATTTTTAACATTACATTATAAAATTTTTTTTAGATGTAAAAAATTAACCTAGTGAAGTGTCTTCGAAACAGGCTGTCCTTGATGGTGTTGATGTTCTTAATCTTTCAGTAGGGCCAAACAGTCCGCCAACAACTACCAAAGCCACATTTTTGAATCCTTTTGATGCTGCACTTCTTTCTGCTGTCAAAGCTGGAGTTTTTGTGGCACAGGCTGCTGGAAATGGGGGTCCATTCCCTAAAACCTTGGTGTCTTTCAGTCCATGGATTACAACCGTTGCTGCTGCTATTGATGATCGTAGATACAAGAATCATTTGACCCTTGGAAATGGAAAAAAATTACCGGGGCTCGGATTGTCACGTAAGTTTAAACTATCAATATTTTCTCCCATGTGCAAGGAATAATTAATGAAAAGAGAACACACATTTCTTTTACACAAGCTGTCTAAACTTTTAATGGAATGAATGGATCAATATCTTGTTAATGGCATTTTTTTTTAGTCTTTTGAGTCATGAGAATGATAGTTGTCAATGGTAAGACTGCATTTGAGTACCAAAAGAAATTTATAAAATGAACAGTTCTGGTTTATTATAAATGAACAGTGTATAGTTTGTTGAGTATCTATATCAAGGTATACAATTTCGAACCGGGCAGTAGGTACCGGTCCGTCAACTGACCAGTACACGGACTGCCCGTTACCGGACGGAATGATATATATATATATATATATATATATATATATATATATATATATATATATATATATATATATATATATATATATATATATA